AACACAACCCCCCCCAAAAAAAACTCTCACAAGGATACCAATGTTTTTAATGCCATCATTAAAATATGTTACTGTCTGAAGGAAAAATAAAAAATATTCTTTTCATCATGTTTCAATAGATTGTGCTTTTTAAAACTAGAAAAAGATTAAATTACATAAGCAATTGAAGTTTATTTGTGGTTCTGAACTTACACTTAGCTTTTACTTTACCTTGCTAAACCCTTATAAAAAGATAAACTCCATTGTTAATAATTGATTATTTTCCTAATCCAACTAATCCTTCCACAGCACTAATAGTTCCTAGCAATGCTAATCTGCACTGTGCAGTCAGGTAGCCACTAGGCACATGAAGCTATTTAAGTAAATTTAAATTAAATTAAATTCAGTTCCTCCATCACACTAGTCACATTTCAAGTCATGCAGTCATGTTTAACTCAGTCAGGTTTAACCATATTTCAAGCTCAACAACTGTCATGTTTAACTTGTGGCTACTATGTTAACAAAACAGAACATTTCTATCACTGAAGAAAATTCTATTGGACAGCACTGACTTAGTCTAAGTGTCTGATTTTATACTATTTCCTTCCTCTCCACAAATGACTTACTTGGAGAATGCTTGTAACTTCACTGACTGGTAATTCACTTGCTTTTTTTGATGTCAATACAGGAATCATTGTCTCATTTTCACCATTAGGTATTTTCTGAAAACGTGCAACCTAGATAATAAAACCAAAGGAAAAATATTTGAATATACCAAACAACTCCAATGCAGTCTAGAACAAATTAAAGTCCAAAAGTTCATAGCACTTTATTTTCCAGTTAGAAAAATATTTTCACACTAATGAGTATCTAGTCCTAATAAGAATGACCACATGCTATTTTTCCAGAAAGTACATTTCAAAAATTAAGCTACCAATACCAGTTAGAACTCAAAATTTTCACACTGAATAAAAATGATGCTATTTCTCCACTAACATGAGAATAAAAAGTAAAACAGATGTCCTGTCTAGCAAATCCTGATGATTACAAATAATCATAATCCTCTAAAGTTATCATGTTTAGCACGAGAGACAAGACACAGCTTAGCTTTCTCCATTTTAACCCCTCTCCTTGGTCAGCAACTGGCTACTCTTCCAAAGCACCATGATAGCACATCAGACTTAAAGAGCTATTCTCAAACTTGGAGAGAAACAAGAAGTAAAAGAGAGTAGACAAGCACAGGATGCACAGGTTAGTGAAGGGGCTATGAACGAGCTAAGTCACAGAAATAGCAGTAACCATGGTACCTACTTGCTGCAGCTTAATAAGTAAATATTTACAGAAAAGTGTCTAATACAATTCTAGAAATAAATCCCCAATCCAGACTTGTCTTGGGCCCTGAGATTTTTTTATAGACAAAAAGCTTTGAGTAAATAGAAAGGGAGACAAAAGTTCCCCACTATTAAAACTTTAGAGAAGAAAACACCTCAGATGCCACACATCCACCTGATTAAAATAACACTGAAACTAAAATGATCATCTTACTGCCAAGATACAAGGTTTTAAGCTCTCTGGTAAAATGTTTTCAACCTTAGATAATCAACATTTTAGGATAAAATGTTTCCCTAAAATTTCTGAAGCAATACTTCTTTAAGACAACAAATGAGATCGAAGAATTTAAAATTCTATTACTGTTACAGTGTCATTATAGAGGCTTGTATGCATAATCTTTCCATTGACTCCAAAAAATGGTAAATTACAGAGGAGAAAAAAATATTCTCTCAGTTTCTAGAACCAATACACGTTTTCTAATCTCGTTTATTCAAAAGGGACTACTGAATGATTAAATACTTTAAAACAAAGAGCAGTGGTATTTTTCCATTTTTAATGAGGAGGTACTAGTGACCAAAAATTTTCAGGAAATTGGAGACAGACTGTCTTTCTTTCCTGCAATAAAAAACTTGAAATTATTTTATAGCATAATATTTTTACATTATTAAGAAATGCAAAGCCTTAGAGAAAATATTGAAAATTTCATGAAAAGTCATATGCCTATTTCAGAGTCACTGAAATGCCCTTATTTCAAATCTACAAAACAAACTAGGGCAAGGAAGTTAAATATTGGAGATTGCCCCCTCAAAAATGACTTAAATCTTTAAACAATGAGAACTAAACCAGTTGACATGGTTATTTTATCTTGTAACATTGCAAAGCAAAATTAAGAAGGATCAAGTATGTTTATGCTGCCTGTAGTGAAAACAAGATCAATAAAATCTTATTTCTAAGATTCCTGAATTTCAGTTTCTTCATATATAAAATGAGGATATTAAGAGCCTAAACAGAGTTATTTGAGGATTAAATCCATTAATATAGCATGTGACCCTCCAGTAATAAGAGCTCAAATTATAGCTATTTTTCTTCCAAAAACTATTTATGTGCACATACTCAATAGTATAATTAGCTTACATAGGTAAATACAGAACTAAATTACTAATTGAGGTGAGTAAAGTTAGTTTACAGTAATTTTTCTATCAAAATACATTTTTCTATCATTAATATATTGGAAATCACTAACTCTAGTACTCAATATACAGTATAAGAGCCTTACTCATACAATGTTTTTCAAGTAATCTTTGCTAGTTGGTACATGGATAGGGTCTACATTTGAACACACTTTACATAAAACCCTTCAGGAGCATTCCATAGGCCCTAAAGAGCTGAAAATCTCAAGAGTGGGAAATGAAATCATTGCGTTTAATAGAAGTTGAAACACTGAAGGGACTTGATGATAACTTTGTATAAAGGGCTGCTTTGAGATGCTCTCCAACTGTGACCACATCTGTCTCAAGTACGTTCACAAGTGGAGGAGAACCAAGCAACTGGAGTTCAAGACCATCAAGTCTTTCCGAGAATGCCAGACCACATTTAACTTTTTCATTCCAAGTGAGTACTGAGTGGAGTAGAAAGCAGCAGAAACTTATTCAGAAACACAAGGAGACAAAGATCAACAAGGTGTGTAGGTATTCTGATGAAGAACATGGAAGCTGTCCATTTGGAGGGAACTTTTTACAAGCCTGCTTACCCTGATGGTGGTACAAAGGAGCCACAGAGACAAAAGGTGGGATCATCAAGCAGGTACCAGGCTCAAAGAAGGAACCAATTCTGGGAGCTCACTAAGGAAAGAGAATAGCAACTCTTTTGACAACAAATGAAGAGGCCGTTATCTTTGAGTGAGATGTTGATTATGCTATGTCGGATGATAGATAACTTGACAGTCTCTGAAGACAAAACTCGTTTCATGATGAGCTGGAAGATTTTCATGACTTGTATATATAGTAACTTTGCATGTGAACTGGTCTGCAAGCCTCCGACAGTACCTGTCCTCTGTGGTGATGTGGCAGGGCCTGCTTCTTTCCTAGGCAGGCCTAATCAATTTCACGTGCAGTCATAATAATTTTTACCCAGGGCCTGTCTTCTCAATCCCTTACCTTTCCCCAAGAAATATGCTGTTTTCTCAGTTTAAAAAAGTTAAAAAATAAATCTTAAAGATAGTTTTCTTGTAACATTAACTGTCAGTTAGTTAGGTTTGTTGCATCATCTGTTTTCAACCAGATTCACACAGTTCTTGGGTAGAGTTTATGAACTTTCCATACTCATTTTGAGGACCCAGGTACAAAAGTGTAAAAGCATTAGCTCTGCTTTGGGGTCTAAGAATTGGGGTGATGGGTGAAGATATCTGATCTGGCAAGTAGCCTTCTACTGCAGACTTAAGGGGTAGCTCCTTGAGGTTTCTGGTGAAATGTGCACATCTGTGTTTTTATATCTGTTTTCTACTCAGATGGTGTAACCCCCACCATGTGCATTTGTTCAGTGGTTTTGGTCTCATTTTATTGCACACAAGTAATACTACTGGGTAACTAGGATCAGGTGCAAATGTGTTGAGATGTTATACTGTGTTTCACGTGATAGGAAAATTGTGAAAGAACACATAAAAAAGATATAGTAGCAATAAAATAAATGCAGAGTTGGAATTTTATTCTGAAGGGCTCAAAGACTTGGTATGTGTGAGTGTGAGTGTGTAGGATCAGCTTCTCATCTTTGCACAGATGCCTTAGTGGAAAAACCTGGTTTAGTGATTTCAGCCTAGTATGGCAGACAGATCTTAAAGGACAAAGCCGTATTTTGGTAGTTATTAATATACAGCAGTACTAGCTTTATTTATATAAATATAGAAATGGGGGTTAGCCACAGAGGTCAAAACAATCTGGCTATCCCATATATTAACATAAACTAGGGTTTGGATATACAGTTGTAGCTAATGTTTTGTGATCTCCCAGCCTTTCCAGTCCAGGTACTTTCTGAAAATCCTTTGTCTTCATTTGAGAGGTTTGGTTGTCAGGTTTTTATGTTTGTTTTTGTAGGTATTTGCCTCATGCCACCCCCGAACTTTGCAGGTAGACAAACATTATTCAAAACTATGCTCCAGGGTGTTTATTTTAGTAGAATAAATAATTTGCAATAACACACCACACTTCTGCACTAACAGGGAGAAGGTTGCAATCCTTATGTTGTTATAAGAACTCCTGGATCAGAAATTTATCTTTACATTTTGTTGCTCTACCTCCTGAAAATAACTGAGATGCTCCTGATTTGTCCACCTGCTCCAATTCCTTGGAGCCTACCTATTCTTTCACTTTAAGAAAAAAACAAGTAATTATTGCAGAGGTCTCTATTTTCCAGTTGCCCTTTTGTGGGAAGCACTTTTCCCAAATAGAATAAATTTTTTCAAAAAGAGTCGTCTTTTTTTCAAGAAGGATGGAATAGCGGAATTTATGTTCATTAGAATGATCTGACAAAGGAAAAACTGATAATGCAGAAGAGAGATGGGACAATTCATAAACCAATGCCCTTGATTACATGAGAGGAGATGAAATCTGATGTATTATTAGAAAGGGTAGCCTTAGATAAGGGAATGGACAATTCATTCACAGTTACAGGTAGGAAGGCAGAGTAACATGGGTAGGATGCAGGCATACTGGTAGCTGTGGTAAAAGCATATGAAAATGTTCATCTGAGAAGGGTCTAGATTGAAGAAATCAAGAGGACATACAAGGCAAAAATAGGCTAAAGAAATAGATGGGGCTCCTGCAGGGCTCTGTGGGTCATATTATGAAATTTTTATCTTCATTCTAAGAGCAAACGCAAGACCTTAGATAGTGGTTAAAGGAGGGGAAAAGGTGAATGGCACAAGTTGGAAAATAAAAGGAGTAGAAGGTAAGAGTGATGAGAATATACTAGTTTGGACACTATTACTTAAGGCTAAATAAGATAAATGAAGCTTGTACCAGGGTGGTAGGGCGTGGGAATGATAGAAATAGAGGTAAAAATGACAGGACATGATAATGAACTAGATACATGTATTGTGAGTGACACTAGATTTCTGGCTTGTCTTACATGTTAAACAGTAATGCTTTTCACCATGGTAAACAATATTGGAAGAGTCTTCTGAGCAAACGGTGCTGGGACAACTGAATATGCACATAAAGAATAAAGTTACACCTCTCCTTTATACCATATACAAAAATTAACTCAGAATGGATTAAAGACCTAGATTTGAGGGCCCAAACTCTAAAACCCATAGGAGAAAACACAGCCTTAAATCTTTTTGACTATGGTTTCCTAGATATAACACCAAAGCACTAGAAACAAAGTAAGAAAACAGATTAGACATCATCAA